TAAATCGGAACTGAGCATGCCTGGCTGTGGAATTCTGGGAGTTGAAGTCCACAAGTCTAAAAAAATTTGAAACCCCTGTGTCAGTGCCTCACCAGGTATAAACCTCACCGTACGTCACTGTTTGTGTTAGATAGAACGAATGGAATAGACAGGACTCAATGATCAGCAATAAACAGCTCTTTATTTGGACAATTATGTACAAACCAGCAACTTGCCTATAGACAGGTCACCCTTTTATAGGGAGCTGTCAGATGGGTCGATCAATCACATTCGAATTAGTTTCCCACCGGAATGGCAGACCTGAGTGTTCCTAGTTACATCTCTCCTCTCCTCCCCCTTTTGCCAGCAAGCTGTTGGGATGTCTCTGACTCACCAAAGAGTTATTCTGTTTTGTCTACAAAACTCTTCTATCACTACCTCCCTTCTCTGTCTTACCGGAAGTCCTGAGAAAAGAAAGGGCACTTCCAGTTCAGCTTCGGGCCTGATAAAATCTTTGCAAAAATCCTCCCGAGTGGAACTTGGGAGTGGTGGGCACATCACTTCAAATCTCTGTTTCTACCAGCAAAGGCTTTTTCCAATGGGCTGCCAAAGCCTACAGGGACACAATCTTCATGCAGGCTTCAGCAACCTGTTGCTTTGCTGGTACAAACAGAGCTTTGGAGGGTTGTGAATATCCTTATGGCACTCCTTTCTCATCTACAAAGTGCTTGAGGAGGCCTTTGCTAATGAGAAAGGAGGCCCGGAGGCACAGGCACACCTCTCCAGGGCTCCTTTCTCATCGGCAAAGCCTCCTTAAGGAAGCAGCGATCCATAGGTGCACAAAAACTTTTCTCCCCCAGACTTGGAAGCTTCAGGGGACCATGATCTCATGCAATGTCAGGCACCCATATGCTTTTGCAGAGAATGGATGCCTGAAGTCCCACGAGATCAGGGCAACCAGAAGCTTCCAGTCTCTGCGAAACGTATTTGCGTGCCAAGGCTTGAAGCAACATGATTTTGCTGCCCGAACCTCCCTTCGGCATGCAAATGCTTTTCAATGCCAAGTGGAGGAGACTCACTGAGGCTGCTGCTGCTCCACAAATGGCAGGCAGCCCTGGTAAGTCAGAGAAGCTGAGCAGCACACCCTGTAGGATCAGACAAAGAAACAGAGAGGCTAGAGAGGAGA